GTGTGGCGTCGCCCGCCCCTTGGAGGAGTGGGGACCGGTTGCCTACCCTCTCACCCTCGTCACTTGCCCCGGGCATTCCGAGCCCGACGTGGAAACACCCTCGAGTGGGATCGTAAGCGCTTTCATCATCGGAGTCGGAGTGGCCGAAGCAGTAGTCGCTTACGGCCAAGAAGCGGCGCATAGCCTCGAGGTCACGAAGCCCAGAGAAGTCCGCTCTGGCCCATACCTCGTCCTCCTCCGAGGATTCAGTGTGGGTGTGGGTCGAGATTGTGGTGGAGAAGTCGAGGGCGAATCGTTGGTGGTGTCCCGAGGGCTCCGCGTGCACGGAGGCGTAAGCGGAAGCGTAGGCGGCGACGATGTTAGTCAGCCCGAAGAGGTACGGGGATGGTGCCGCCGCTGGGTTCCGCTCCGCCTGAGTCGATTCCTCAGGAAGCGGCGGGGCGGAGCTTGACGACGGGACATCGCTGCGCGCTACTGGCGTCTCTCCCTTGCCCAGGCTTAGGCTAGACAGGTCCCCAGCCAGGGACTCTATACCGATAGCCGGGCGAGGGATGTCAGCAGAGTGGGGCGCGTAGCCCTGAGTTCGCGTGGCGTCGGAGTAGTTCCGCTCGCGTCGTGCCTGGTGAGCGTGACCAGAGCGGCGGCCCGGGCGCCACCTGCGTCTAGGCTGCCGATGCGCGACGTCGTCGCCGGCCGATGGGGCTCTGGGTGTGAGGAGTACCATATCGTACTCACATCCTAGAGCCATGAACTCTAGGCTCCCAAACCAGACCACCGTGCCGAGATGTAGTGGACGTATGGGGTCAGCCATCCAGAACTCGTTGGGACGATCACGCTAACACGCAGACGCCCCTACCTGGCGCGCCAACTGTCGGTGTTTCGGACTGGGGGTCCTCAACCAACCAGTAAATTTATACTGCGTGCCCCTAATCCCGGATGGTGATGCAAAGAGACACAAGATTTATACTTGTTCAGGCAATCGGTGCCCTACATCCAGTCTGGGAGATCGATCTTGTATTCTTTGCACCGAAGTGCTTGTAGTAGGGGGTTACAAGCTGTGTGAGAGAGGGAGCTAGTCCCAGGTCTCGGCGTGGAGTGGTGCGGACTGCTTGAGTTGTTGCTCTCAGGCAGCGTGGGAGCATGCGTGAATTGAGTGAGTGCGTTTTGCGCGTGAGGGCTGGCGTGGTCTCTCTCCCTAGAAACGGCCCTGGCTGCTTCCTTTTATAGCCACAAGGAGGGAGCCAGGAGTACATGAGAGAGCTACATGTGGAGCCTTAGCGAGGAAGGAAGATCCAGTACTGTGGCCTATTCCTGTAGCAGCATAGTGTCGGAAATGGCAATTGGTACTTGATTACTGGTGCGTCATGCCGGCCATGCCGGAGGCTATTGAAGTCGTAGGGGTCCTTGTTGACGTTTAGTCAGCATGGCCTCCTCTGTAGGTGACATGTCGTGTCTTGTGAATTTTTGACTTGGTGGTTCGCCGAGGCCTGGCAGGTGTTTGTGGCCGGCCGCGCCGAGGCCTGATTTGCCGAGGCCTAGGAGGTGACCTGAGTGCGATGCGGCGGTCTCGGTGGTCAGCGTCGTACCCGGTTTAGGTGGAAAAATGCAGGGCGTGTGTCCGCAAAGCACGGTAGTCCCTGCACCGTCAGTGGGGAATGGTAAAAAAGGTGATTTGATCGCCGTCCCATCGCCCCTGTTGCTATGCCCCGCTAATCGTGGCTGACGTAGGCGCAACCAGGGGTACTTACACGGATGGGACGGCCCGCCAGAGGGGCAGTTGAGGCGGAGACGACGAGGATGCGGGACGAGCCCGGCCTCGGCCGAGGCGGAGAAGGAATAGTACGTCTGAGACCCTGCCGGGGGGTCTCGGACGAGGCGTAGAACGAGCAGTTGGGCTCTCCTGCGGTTTCCGAGACTATAGGGACATGGACTTGACCCTCCATGCTGCTTTGTCCTTAGCATAGGGGTTAGATAGCACAGTGTTGAGCACAGTGGCAGGTAACCCCTGTTGCGCCTGGTCCCCTGTCCCGTCGATCGTTCTGCCCGTACTGTACCTGAGTGCGGCTGACGTTTGCGGGAGTAGTTGGGCGCATTAATCTGGACGTGACGTTTCGTCAGAGGAGTTTGGTCGGGATGGAGGTTACGAGTATGTTTGCCGAGCCCGGCCTCGAGCGAATCGGAGAATTGGCATCCCATCCGAGGCCTTTCGGGGCGAGGCCTCGGCGAGAGGGTCTCGGCGAGTGGGCCTCGGCGAGAGGGCCTCGGCGGGGTGCTTTTGGCCTTTCGTATGAGGCCTCGGCGCAAGGCCTCGAGCGAATCGGAGAATTCTGCAGAGACCTGGCGGTAGTCTTTTGGCTTTGATTTTTGCAAGGTTTAAGCGACATTTTTAGTTCTTGCTTAGGGTACCCCTTCTTGTGGTATCCGACAGAGGCCTTCCTTGGAAGAGAGCTTCCTCCAGAGACACCGGGTGCCCGCTCCTCTGGAGTACTCATTAGTTGGCTGAGCAAGCTCTGAGATACCGGGTCCCTATCCCTGCAGCAATCTCTCTAATCTAACTAAATAAGCTACATACATATATTCCTAAGTATATAATATAACTAAATAAATAAGCATCTAACTTTCAACCTATGTAATTAAATTTGCTAACTAAATTTGCTAAATATTCTAAAAAATTACTAACTAAATTATCTAAAGTACATTATCTAATTAACTAAACCTATGTAATAAATAAGCATACCTGGATGGGCTGCCCGCGCATGGCCCAGAGGGGCAGGGGGCGTAGGGAACCAGAGGGGTAGGGGGCGCAGGGCCCGGAGCCCAGCCGGCCCGCAGGAGCTCCGGTGAGCGGTGGCGGGCCGCCCTCACCGCCGGACAGAGATGAGGAGGAGGGAAGGGGCGACGAGGGCGGCCGGGCTTCGCACGGCGACGCCCTGCTGCGGGCGCGCAGGAGCCGGGAAAGGGAGGCGGCGCAGGGACCGGACGACCGATGGTGGCCTGCTGCCGGCGTAGGAGGCGCGGTCGACGGTGGCGTGGACAGGGCGTAGACGGCGGCGGTGAGAGGCAGAGACAGAGCGCGCGTGAGAGAGAGAGAGCTGCGGCCGTGGGTTTTGAATCGATGCTCGGCGCCAGAATACATGGCGCCGAGCTCGGCGCCAAGATCTAAGGCGCCGAGATACCGGCCACGTAAACGCCACCTAGGATGGCTTACTGCGCTTGGCTAGCCACTTCGGCGTCAAGATCTGTGGCGCCGAGACATGTTACCTCAGCGCCATGAGGTCTGACGTCGACCCCTAGGGTCCAAAGATGAGTTTAAGTCTCTCAGAGGGCCAAACGTAAATTTTCTTCAAAAAAGGGTCAAATTATAAAAAAATAGGTTGATCGGACAGGGGTGCACATGGCCTACGGGTCTGTTCGGCTGGTATTAAAATCGGCTGATAAGCCGGCTGAAGCTATTTTATTGTGAGAGAAAAATACTGTAGATTCTAACTGATAAACCGACCGGTAAGTTCGCGAACGTGCCCGTACTTTGATTAGTTTGATTAGTATCGTGGACTTGGTCTACGTAAGACAGGGGCCTTCGGCCCAAGGTCCCTGACTGATTCCTCTGAACCGGAGCACGCCAATAGACTCCGTGATATCTTCAAATGCAATCGGCTAAGATAGGGCGGCGAGCATGCACGGCTGAAACAGATCAACAGGCGATCAACGGACCGAGTCCGTCCAATAATTAACTGGGCCACGTGGAGTATATTATATCTGTCTTCAAAAATGGCATGAACACAGCTCAATTTGTCTGTGAGCATTTGATAGACAATAGACTCCGTGTGTAAATCCTCAATGCCATCTAAAGTCCTCCCTCATCTCCATTAAATCCGTGTGATCACCTGTTCTAGGACAGTAGAGTTGCATGATGCACCTAAATTTCCCTTCTTTCTTGAAGGAGTTTAGCATCAATATCCATCCGTCAACCAAGATATTCATCGCGCTGAAAAACCGCCAACACTCAGGCATGTGTATCATATACTATTTTAACCACAAACTCTTCTCGGAGTCAACAAGAAGCCACATGTTTGTGTAACGGCTACAACGCCCCCCTACGCTTTGCACTAGGCTGTGAGCCGCTAGAGTGATATCCCAGCTCTCATCCTCGTCAGGGTACCCAACTGGCGGACCATCGATCATTGCCTTCCACTCATCGCTCTCTAGGTCAAAAGAGGCTACTCGGTTACAGCCAGGCAGGTGGTGGTCCTGGACGCCGTCCAAGGACAGGGGCTCCAATGCCCAAGAAGTGGAGAATACCACCGGCGGCTGCTGTGCATTCAGCCGACAATCGACGAGTAAGGATCGGGGGGTCCGGCCTTTGCCTCCAAGTGCAAGCGGTTTCCATGGCAATGCCATCTCCGTCGTCGCCAAGAGTGGCACCCTGGCATATCTGGATGACACCAGCATCGTACCCAACCGCGCGTCACGGAGACGGAAAACCGTCGTCGCCAAGAGTCTAGTGCTCGCGGCGGGTAGGACGACTCGTCGAGCGGGCGCGGGCGCGGCCGCGGGCTTGCAAACAAACCCATGACGAGGGGAGCCGCGGCGGTGTGAAGTCCGTGCGCTGCGATGAAGGCCGGATCCGAGATGAGGGCACGCCATGCCTTGGACACTCACCGGAGCTGGCACAGGGTCTTCACCGGCAGCCTGGCTAGCACGTCGAAGAGGCAGGGTGAACAAGACTCCGCCATTGCCTTCGTTGTTACTGACGCCATTGCCTTCGCTTGTGTTGGGATTGCCTCCTTGGTTCACCTCGATTTCTCTCTTGCAGACAGATCCAACGTCGCATTGTGCACGAACTCCCGCCCGATGTGCTACACCTACGCCTCATCGTCATCAGTCTTAAAACATACGCACTCTTAATACCCATAGATCATAGATGTCCGACTGGGTCGGCACGAGTGAATTTGGCCCGGCCCGGTGTTACGTGTGTGCTTGGGCTGCAACTTGGGCACGGCATGAAGGAGTCAAGCGGTAAAGCCCATCGTCTCGTTTCTGGGCTCTCTCTGCTCTATGGTCCTCACTCTTCGGTCATAGCTGACACCTCACACGGGAGGAGCCGAGGAGGAAGGCGGCTAGGGACTGGGGAGTGGAGCGGCCGCCGCACGCGGACGGCGTGGAGGCGGCGCGGCGTTGCCGCTTGCCTGCGGCCTATACGCCTGTGCCGCTCCCACTCGCTGTCGGGCTTTGCTGTCATCTCCCTCTCCAGATTCCTCCACCTTCGGCTGCCTCGCCGAATGCTTCTCCCGGCAGTCGCGGCGGCGGCGGCGGCGCGCGCCGCCAGCCGCTTGGTCCCGGTCCCGGTCCGGCTCTCCGCCGCCCGGTGTATATCCTCGCTAAAGGTCCCGTGGAAGCGCGACCCCGCCCTCGACGCCGCCATCGCCCGGGACCGCCGCTTCCGCCAAGCGTCCCGCCTCGTCCGCGAGGTGCTCCTCTCCCCGGGCCGCCGCCTCCTCTTCCGCTATCTCACCAAGCGCCGCGAGCGCCTCAAGCTCCCCGTCCGCGTCCCCACGTTTCTCAGGCGCTACCCCACCCTCCTCGCCGTCTCCGCTCCCCCGGAGCCCGTCGCCTCGCCCTCCCCGCACCTCCTCGCTTTCCTCGACTTCGCCTCCCGCCTCTACGAGCTGCACGCCCCGCTCCTCGCCTCCAGGCTCGCCAAGCTCATCATGATCTCCTCCACGCGTGCTCTGCCCGTCACCAAGATAGCCGCCGCCAAGCGCGACTTCGGCATCCCCGACGACTTCCTCGTCTCGCTGGTCCCGAGGTACCCCGGCCTCTTCCGCCTCGTCGGTGACCCCGGGCCTGACGCGTCCGGGAACGCGTTCCTCGAGTTGGTTGCTTGGGACGATAGACTGGCCAAGTCGGTGATCGAAGTTCAGGCTGACAAGGAGGCCGATGTCGTCGGAATTAGGCCGAGGCCAAACTTCACTGTTAAATTGCCGAAGGGGTTCTACCTCAAGAAGAAAATGAGGGAGTGGGTGAGGGATTGGCTTGAGTTGCCATATATCTCACCTTATGCAGATGCATCCGGGCTGCATCCGGCATCTCCGGAAGCTGAGAAGCGAACCATTGGCGTTTTACATGAGGTGCTGTCCCTGACAGTACAGCGAAGGATGGTGGTGCCAATTATTGGGAAATTCTGTGCTGAGTATAGGCTGCCCAATGAATTTGCTAATGCATTCACAAGGCACCCAGGCATCTTCTATGTATCACTTAAGGGTGGCATCAAGACAGCAGTATTGAGGGAAGCCTATGATCAGAACGGGGTGCTTGTGGATAGAGACCCAATGCTTGAGCTGAAGGAGAGATTTGTGGCAATCATGGAAGAGGGGCATAAGCAGTATTTAGAGGACTTGAATAGGAAGAGAGAGGCACTGCAGAAATACAGGGAGGATGCAGGTTGCAAGGATGCAAAAGCAGAGATTGAGGATCAGCTTGAGGAGGAATGGCACAGTGAGGATTCAGAAGGAGATGATGACACAGATGATGCTTATGTGCAGTAGGAGGCAATGGAAGGCAGTGTCGTTAATGGCTCTTCCGCTCTTGTAATTCCATTTGTCCCTGGTCAGTGTTGCCTGGAGAACTGGCAGAGGAAATGGATTGGAATTTAACATGCTCTTAAGGACTGGTGAGATCTTTTGACTTCAAACTTGGAACATTTTCTTGTCAGCAATCTTCATGGAAGCCTTTGTTGTTGTTAGTTAGCTCACTGGGGCTGTGGAGTATACAACTGGCTTTTGTGTTGCGACCTTTTCCATCTATTCGGATCCAGAGATTATTTTCAAGTTGATCAGTGCAAGTCTATTCCTTTTTATGGCATTTTGTTTAAAATGTCGCATCATGTCATGCCCACTACACATCATTAACACAGATACCACATATATTCCATGAAGTAATCTTTTTTATATACACTCAAGAGTTCTGTGCTCAATAAATCCATAAAGGGCGTACCCAGTGCAGAGAGCTCCCGCTCTGTGCGGGGTCTGGGGAAGGGTGTCAGTGGCAAGCCTTACCCTCGCCTGTGCAATGCGAGGAGACCGCGACTCGAACCCGGGACCTTCCGGTCACAGGCGGTAAGACTCTACCGCTTGCACCAGGCCCGCCCTTCTCTCAATAAATCCATATTAACACAATTCAATTTCCTTCATAACAACCTACCCAAATTTTCAGCTGTGCCTCATTTCTTTCAAGGATCCAAATATCATTAGATGAGCTATGTACCTCTGTCCAGAACTGTTTCCCCTCACAGCCACTGTAAGTCATTTGGTATATTTGATTTCCCAAAGCCAGAATATCAATTGGTGTTTAGCCAAAGGTAAGACTTCCAGGATATGGATGGTCATTGTGCTAGACAGGAACAGTCTTGAGAGGTTTTTTAGTGGGGTCACTAATTTGAGAAAACAATTTTGTATTAAATGTTCCATTTGGTTTTGTGTACATGATGAACAACGTACCGATCACCTGGAAAGTTGAAGGTTTACACCTGCCACCTTTAGCTTGAACTTATCAGCCTGGCTTATCAGCCATGGTACAATATTTTTCTCTCACAACAAATCAGCGAACAGTACTTTTCAGCCTGGCTTTTCAGTGAAGCGAACAAGGCAAAGTTTGATTCTTGCTGAGCACTTGGAGAATAAGTTGAATTGAAAGAAAATAAATGTAACCTTCAGTGGTTATACCTAGAACTTAAGCTATATAAAAAGATTTTGTTCTTTCAAAGCATTTGGAATCTACTTAGAGAGCAATGCATTGATTGAAGGCTAGCTTGCTTGTCCTTAAGGGATTTTGTGCTTTCTGAGTTTTATGCTGTCTGCCTTACGGGTCTTCCAAACTCTGGATAGAAGTTTATTTTCAACCCACTGTTATTTCCATGTTCTCTTACTCTGTTTTTTGCCGTACATATTTTTACTCCGATTTAGGTTTCAATTTTGCATGTATCTTTCATGTGTGGCATTGTGAATTTGTGACCGTGTCTCTGTTGTGCTTCTGTGTGTGCAGACATGGAACAATTTGACTTTGTGCAACTCCATACCCTGTTTGGAAGTGTTCGCTTCAGCTAAAGCTGCTGCAGCTGCATCCTCTCTCCGCAGATCATTGTAGCAGCAGCAGCCACCCGAGGGATTAGCTGTGGCAGCTACAAGGAGGCGGTGAACTTGAGTGAGCGTGGCGGCAAAAAAGGACACCTAACCCAGGTCGCCAAATCATTGCCAAGATGGTTCTCTGCTCTATCTATTATTATAAGTACTGTACATGCTATGATGGAACCATAAGATGTTCATGCAGCAACTCAGGCCCCGTTTAGATGTCCTCAAAACCCAAAATTTTTTGCACGGTATCCGTCACATCAAATCTTGCGGCACATGCATGGAGTACTAAATGTAGACGAAAAAAAAAACTAATTACACAGTTGACCGAGAAACCGTGAGACGAATCTTTTAAGCCTAAATAGTCCATAATTGAACAATTTTTATCAAATACAAACGAAAGTGCTACAGTAGCCAAAAAAATTTTGGAACTAAACACGCCCTCAGTTCAGTTGTACTGTTTGACTCAAGAAATGTAACGAGTTCTGTGACACTGACACATGGTGATCCTGTTCCTGTTGGTGTCTTGGCGTCCAATGCAGTTGCAGTCTTGCAGATGCCTCATGCAAGGCTGTGTTCTCTTGGGACTCGATGAAGGTGAAGTGCTTCCTCACCAGATCCGATCCATTCCAATTATCTGGAAATCTATAAATACGGCAGGGGCGGATCCAGCATAGTGGCTCTACATATGTACACCTAATGGGTCAGTGCGAAAAATAAAAGTTAGGACATGTTTGGATGATTTAACTTTAGAAAACTGTGGTATCAATAAACTATTCGTTTTATAGACCTACAACATGCAAAATTGTGCTTTAGAGACTACAGAGTTTGTTATATCCAAACACCAAATAGCTTCTAAAAAACAAAGTATTTACCAGAGTATTTTACAGACCACAGTGTTTATCCAATAATAATTAAAAAAACACTTTGCACCTAAACGAGGCCTTAGCGGGTATGATACAAAACGGAAGAGAAAGTAATGGACCAGCCACGTATGCCAACGGGGAGCATCAGGCCTACGGATATGGATATATGAGCAGCCTAGCTCGTGGGAAATAATCAGCCATTTTTCTTTTTTTCCATTCTTTCTTTATATTTCCCTTGTAATCTTTGTGGTTACTTTATTATGTTTAATTCTTTCATCAATTTTGTGTAACAACGGCATCTTTCTTTTCATTATCTAACTCAACAATTTTGATGTATACATTCAACGTTTTTAAAAATTATTTAGTCAATAAAAGATGTTTGCAAAAAAAAAAATCTAGTTTAATACTGTAGTACTTACCTTGTTCCTACAAGTTCCTACAAGCTCCAATACCGTGACATCCTCTATAGTGAAAGCGTGAAATTTTACCAGTGATTTCCGGATTGGGAAATCTTATGGTCATGTGTAGCACCTGTTTGCCGAGTATCATACTCATCCCCTGTTTTAACTATCTTTTTTCAGCTTAAGCCCCCCTTTGGTACGACTCTCGCACCGGCTTTTGCAGCAGCTCTTTGCATAAGCTGTACCAAACGCATGAATTGAAAACGGCTTCATCGCGTGAGCCGGCAAAAGCCGTATGCCGAAATGAACTGGGCGTCGCGAGCCAGAAATAATGGCTCCCCCCGGCTTCTCCCCGTCTACGTACAGAAAGTTGGAAGAAATTACCGGTTTGCCACTGCCTCAATAATTCCCCATACCGGTTCCTTACTCTCACCCATCCGCATCCTCTCTCTCACCCATCCGGCTCCTCTCTCTCATGATCCTCGCGCGAGTCTGGCGGCGGCGTTGCAGCCATGAACCGGCTGGGGCGGACGGCCGGAGGCGGGCGAAACGGCGGCGCAATGGATGGATCCGGCGGAGGGCATCCTGATCCACCTGCTCGTTTTCCCGGAGGCACGGCTTCTCCTCATCCGGCCGGCGCTCTCTTCATCGCATGCAGCACATCCTCCTCCTCGGAGTGCTTCAGATAGTTCAACTCGACATTCTAATGATCGAAGCATGGATAGATTCCGTGATGACATTGCAAGGGCAATATTTCTTTCTAGATCATCGTGATATTGTATTGTTTGTATGGTTGGATGCTATGTGTATCCCCTGAATGTATTATTTTGTCAACAACACTTTGTAACAACCACCTAAGTATTAGCTTACCTATATTTTATATTTTTTTTTATTTCACGCAAATCACATTATTAATAGAGTCAACACATAAAACTCATATCTCTAAGCAATAAACATGTGCAAGGGTACAATGGACAATTGACATCTTCTATACATTCTAAAAAGTTAGGAGAAGCCGTTTTGCCAAACGTTTTCGTACAAAATAAGCCAGAACCAGAAAAAGCTGTTTTTCCATAGGAGCCAGAGCCAGAGCTGTTTTTTCACGAGTCAGAGCCGTGCCAAACGGGCCCTAAGTTAGGTGGAAAGGAAGAGGACTGGACATCTTTTTTCAACTTATAAGCTACGTGAAAAGCAAGACGGCTAGACATAACTATAAGAGTAGCTTCGATATTTAGGTATTTAGGGCATGTTTGCCAGGGCTCTTCCCCGACTCCGACTCCTCCGGAGAAGCTCTGCCAAACGCTTTTCTGGAGAAGATGTTTTCAGTAAAAAAAAACAGAGGAGCCGAAACCGTTTTGAAAGAGCAACAAATTGTGGCTTCTCCAAAACGGCTCTAGCTCCTCTAAAGGAGCCCCTCAGGAGGAGCTGTGCCAAACACCCCCTTATATTTTTCCATGTAATTTTACTAGAAATAATAAATAAATAAATAAGAATGTTTTTTATCAACTTATTGTCTATGCTTAATAATATACAATCTTGCATGATCACAAGTTAACTCCTATAAGAGTACTGTGGCTGTTTCGTCCATGCCTTGACTGGGGGCGTGGCAACTCACAACTGTGCTGGTAAATCAGCACATCTGTTTCAAGAGAAGAACTGCTCAAGACTTGGAGAATTGAATATGTTGCCTGCAAGCTGTTCTCCTTCCACCGTGGAAATAAATAGTTGGCATCGAATGAACCGCTGATAATAAACGGGGGGGAAATGTTAACATATGTATATCAAAAGAAACCCCTGCTCCAGAAATAAATAAGATACAAGATAACATACAGATAGTTGAGAAACTATGTCAAGGTTCGTGTCTATGTGAAAATCTGACTCCAACTGTCGAACAAATGAAGTTCGACCAACTTCAGTGCCGCAAAAGAGCACCTGAAAAGCATATACATTGTTTTCACTAGAAGTCAAATGAAGGTGACAGAAACAGATAGAGTAAAACACAACCAAATAATCTAAGCATTACCAGATACCAGTCGATAAAGAGAAACACATATGGCCTAACTATGGGCAAGGGGAACTATTCTTTCATCCGTCAAACATAATTGAATATTCTGTACGATGAGTAGAACTGATATGCTGAGTGCCACTAGAACTTTCAATGTCCATGTGCATTTTTTTTATAAAAAAAAAGGTGCAAGTACCAACTATCAGCCGTTTTATTATATATATGATATTTATATGCTATATATCCTATGTGCAATAGACATATTAATCAGGACTCCAGGGGGAAGTATCGTTCAAGTTTTATGATGAGAGCAATAAGGTAAATGAACTATGATGAATCAACACTCTTTAGTTTGAACTTGTCACCTTCTCTTTCATCAGGCCACCAGTTCTGAAAAGTCCAGAGGCCTCCAGGGCCATGAGAGCGTTCTCCTACAGTTTCCATTAGTCACTGAATTACAGAACCATTCATATAACATACAAAACTGCAAATAAATGTAAGGGTGAACTAAGAAATTAATACCTCGCTCTTGTCATCAAGTACAGTCTCCATCATGTAGAGATCACAATATCTGGATATTTCCAGTAGTAACTCTACAACGGAGGGTCTAATTGTAGCATGTTCCTGCATCAAAGATGGATAGCAGAAGGTTTAGCTTTGGTGATAGGCGACTATGCAAGAGATACAAACTTGACGAGCATTGCTAGTCACACCTGAAGCTCCTCAGGAGTTTTCTCCTCAAAAACAACACCGAGAAGTTGGCACGTAACCTGCACAAGCAATTTTTATGAGATTCGGTGAATTCTGTGATACGACAAACAGAGTTTATTAATCCAAAGCAGTGCCATGATTTAGGAAGGTCGTGTCAAATTTGATCACTGCAGTGTTCAACTGCTAATTTCTTCAGCCTCTTAAGACAAATCCCTTAAAATGTTTCATTACTAACACGGTTATCTGAAAACAAACTTATCAGCATTATTGAATGGAAAATTTATTCCAAAGGTGCATTGTCTTCCTTTTTAAACTAGGAATAGCCCTGAAGAACACCAAGTTGCATGCACATTCGCTCTTCTGAAAGACAAACTTAGGTGCGATGGAAGAAGCCACACCTTTCTGCACCCTCTCAGTCGCTTCACCACAATTTCCCGTGTTACTACCTGTCAAACACAAAATTGTCGTCACAAATTTAACCGGCCGCAGCAATCAACAATACCAGGAATCATCATTCCATTCCATAGCCTACCTTGCCTGAGTCACCGATAGGCTCGGCCGCATCAGGCACAGTCGCAGCAGGAGCCGCTGCAGGGGTAGGTGGGGGCCGCTTGGGAGCAGGCCTGCGGGGTCGCAGGAACTTCCACGCGAACACGACGGCGATGGCGAACCCCGCGACAGCGCCGAGCGATCCAGCTCCCTGGGAAACAAAGCGGAGCCACACGGACGCACCCCCGACACGGTCAGTAGCTAGGGTTAGGGGCCGCGCGAAGGGGCGAGCCACGGGGACCGGCTTTGCTTTTACCTTGTGGCTGAAGAGCAGCGCGACGATGTCGGTGACGCGGCGGTTGAGGGCGCGGGCGACGCGCCGCACCAGCCAGACCTTTTCCTGCTCGGTGGCAGCGAAGCCCGGCATTGCGAGGGCGCTGGAGAGAGAGACGGGCGGGCTCCGCGTTTGATCTCCCTCGTGCGGTCAGGGCGGTGGAGGCGGGGTGGGGGAGGCGCTGATTGCCTTGCCGGATTGCGAGGCCGCGGTGGCTGGTGGAGGAGACCGGGAAAGGCACGCACGGGCACGGAGGCGCCGGCCGCGGCCCGCGGGAGAAAACGGGGAAGAAGGGCAAAGGAGAGGGGCGCGCGCGGTGACGGAGAGCAGGGGACAGCACCGGTGCTTACCTTGTTGACCGGGGAAGAAGTCATCCAAGACGCCCGGTTTTTTCCTTTTCCTTTTTTTGCGTAATTTTTCTTTTCCTATACATGATTTAGGTTCTGTGGGTACACTCAGAATTCATGGCTCGTTACCAAACTATATAGTACTTCCTCCGATCAGAGAATAGTACAATTCTAATACAAGTACCAAGTTAAAGTATCTCAAGGTTGACTAAATAGTCATGACATTAAATAAGTATTATTAGATTTTTCATGAGACATAATATACTTATTTAATGTAAAAATATTAATATTTTTTTTATCTATATATTTGATAATAAAACTTTAAACACTTTATAACTAATAATGCTCATAGAATTATATTCTTTTTAGGATAGAGGTAATATACCATTGACCTTGCGAGTCAGGAAATAAGATCGGATTTTCTATACATACATGGGATAACAAAAATTAAGCCCTGCCCCGAACAAAGGTTGTACAAAGTTTACGGTATAAATCTACAAATGTTTCGCACTGCTCAGACTTGAGGATCAACTCGAATCGATTGAAGCTTAGTTGATTGCGAAACTTTTATAACAAGTCAAAATAACAAACGCGGTAAAGTGATTGCAGAACTGCACTTATTTTTCCATCCAAACCTGAAGGTCATAATGTGTTTGAACCTTTTTGTTTTCCACTCCTCGATTTGAATTAAATAGAACAGGATGCCCAATGAACGGTTCATCATTTGACAGAGTATCGGATTTCCATTTGCAATACCTGCACGTTGGTGAAGTATCTTGTATCTAGACAGCTTTGTGGACATTTCAATGCATAGGTTGAGTGACAGTCATCCTTGTCTCTTAGTTCTTCAGTGAAACACCAGCTCATTTCCCTGATTCAACATGGCAGCATATATATTTGAGAGAAGAATTTAAACTGATGAATCATCTGGATCTAGGCGTAGAATATTGCAGCAGTAATTTCTGCCACTTCAGCATCTTGATGGATCTTGCAAATGCTTGGTAGAGTCTTCCTATGACTGCATCTGCTTCCAAAAGACATTGTCCCCTTTTGAAGCAGATGCCATGCCCGTCTTTACTGCCAAGTCCTCCAAACCACCGCACGCCTTCAGAAAAACAGCAAATGCCGACCTGTCGGGGGCAGCATTACGGTAAGGCATCTCAAGTGCCGACCAGGAAGAGGTGGAATAAGGTTGCGTTGGCGAGGATACCCCACGGCCCACCTGCGTGTGGTGGCGGCCGAGAGATTCGGAGACGTCGGGGCTCGGGGAGCGTGCGCTGCGAGTCTGCGACAGGTGGTGCTCATGTTCAAATGTAGCGAGGCGGCGCGACAGCCGACAGGTGGTGGAGCGGTGGAAGCAGCCCCCTGGGTGGAAGCTGCCACTGCCGCGCGGCGCCATTGGCGAGGACACGACATTGCTGCGAGGTGTAGAACGTGGGGCACTATCTCCCCGCTGATCGTGGTGTAGAACGAGGGCTCGGTGCCACACTGCCACCGTGCCTAGCGCATGTTGACTAGGGAATCACAGTGGCGTCGCGTCTTTTGAGTTTTGATTGACAACGGTTACGGGGTGGAGCCCGCCCGCCTGGTGCACTGCGCCAGCCAGCGCGCGCGCCGCTCTCCATGTCGTTGCGCCTCGGCTTCCAGAGCCTTGAGCCGGCGCTCGCCGCGGCGGCCGAGGCGCTGTTCGGCACCCGCTCCCCGCCGCGCGCCGTCCTACGCCGCGCGCGCGCGCTGCACGCGCTCCTCGTGGTCTCGTCCCTGCCGTCCGCGCCCCGCCCGCCCACCTTCCTCGCTAACCAGCTGCTCGCCCTCTACTGCCGCCTCTCCGCGGTCCCCGACGCCCTCGCCCTCCTCCGCTCCACGCCGTGCGCCTCCGTGGTCTCCTACAACACCGTCCTCTCCGCGCTCTCGCGCACCCCGAGGCACGCGCCGGACGCCTTCGGGCTCTTCCGCGGCCTGCACGCGTCGGGTCTCCGCCCCACCGCTCCAAGCCTCTGCGCCGTCCTCCACGCCGCTGCCGCGCTGCGCGATGGCCGCGCGGGTGCCGCCGCGCACGCGCAGGCTGCGGCGCTCGGCTTCCTCGCCAGCGACATTGTGCCGACCGCGCTGCTCCAGATGTATTCCGGGTGCGGGTCGCCGAGGGACGCTAACCAGGTGTTCGACGAAATGATGACGCCGGATGTGGTGGCGTGGAACTGTGTGATGCACTGCAATGTACGGTATGGTTACCTTGACCGCGCCCTGGGGAAGTTCTGCCGGATGGTGAGCACTGGGCTGGCGCCTACAGAGGGCACCCTTTCTTCGGTGCTGAGTGGGTGCGGGCGCTCTGGGGACTTGCACCATGGGTGCGCGCTACATGGATGGGTGGTGAAATCAGAGGAGCTTGATCCTGATTTGCCGCTGCAGAATGCGCTGCTTGATATGTACTGCTGCTGTTGTGATCTGGGCACTGCAGTGCGTGTGTTTCAGAGGATCGAGACACCAGACTTGGTGTCATGGAATACCATAATTGCTGGATTTTCTGGTGTTGGGGATGGATGGAGCGCAATGCAGGCCTTTGTGCAGCTGAAGGCTGTGTCCTCTGAATGGCTGGCTCCAGATGAGTATACATTTGCAGCTGTGGTGGCTGCAGCTGCTCCTTTACCAGCAATGTGTAGTGGCAAACCACTTCATGCTGGTGTGATCAAAGTTGGGTTGGAGGGCAGTGTCTTTGTTGCGAATACACTGCTCAATATGTATTTCACAAATGAGGATCCAGGCTCTGCTCAGATTTTGTTTGATTCCGTTATGGTGAAAGATGTTATCATGTGGACTGAGATGGTTGCTGGCCATTCTGCACTAGGTGAAGGAGAACTGTCATTGAAATATTTTATTGGCATGCTGCAGGTAGGGCACAAGGTTGATAACTTCTCTCTTAGCAGTGCTTTGAATTCCACGGCAGATCTTGCAGGCCTTAAGCAAGGGGAAATGCTCCATGCTCAAGTGGTAAAAAGTGGTTATGAAGGAAATATTTGTGTCTCTGGTAGCCTTGTTGACATGTATGCGAAAAATGGTACTCTTCGAGGTGTCTATTCAGTTTTCTGCACCATACAGAAGCCAGATTTGAAGTGCTGGAATTCTATGATAGGAGGATATGGCAATCATGGGGATTCTGAAATGGCGTTCAAACTATTTGGTGACATGATTCGTAGTGGTCTGCAACCTGACCATGTAACTTATATCTCCCTCCTTTCTGCTTGTAGCCATTGTGTGCTGGTTGAGAAAGGAAAGCTTTATTGGTTCTGTATGATAAATGATGGCATTGTACCAGGGTTCAAACACTACACTAGCATGGTGAGTTTGTTGAGTAGGGCAGGTTTATTGGAGGAAGCAGTTGATTTAATTAATAAATCTCCTTCTGCCAAGAGATATCCTGAGCTATGGAGAATTCTGCTAAGTTCTTGCGTGACATTTAAAGATCTGTCAATTGGTGTTCTTGCTGCTGAACAGGCACTGGAGCAGGATCCAGATGATCTCTTAACACATATACTTCTTTCAAACCTTTATGCATCTATAGGAAAATGGGATAGTGTGTCTGAAATTAGGAGAAGGATCAGAGGGCTGATGATTGAAAAGGAGCCCGGGCTTAGCTGGATCGAGATTAAGAAAATGGTACATGTGTTTTCTGCAGACAATGAATGCCACACTCACATAGATGATTGTCGTGATGAGTTACATAGAATAATGGGAAACATGGGACTGTTGGATAGTTGTGAAAATGAAGTAGTGTTAAATGGCTAGGTTGCCTTTGTTGTTGATGGCAATGGAGCCGACCTCGTTTAAAAAAAAAATGGCTAAGTTGACATGAACTTATTTCTGTTGCATAGGAGTTGGCATGCTTTCCTTCATGGCACCAAGAAAGCTGATGTGCATAATAAGATTTTTCAGCATAACAATTAACAAATGATATGAGAAGCTATATATCGAGCATCCAATAGTTTCTGAGGTATGCTTACAAACAAGCAAGTTTGAGCCTAAGTTCTATGTGTCTACTGCAGCAATGTGCTTATTTGCTTCTGTTTCAGCTTCTCTATCGTGAACAGCAGAATTTCTGGCTATAAAACTTGTCCTCTGTTGAAGGTATTAACTAAATACACACGGGAGATTACAGCACAGTTCCATTAATTAACCTGTTATGACCGGCCTCCCCTAGGCCAGGCGCAGGCCCAATAGTGGCTAGGAGGCCGGCTCTGTTAAGGGGCTTAGAGGCCTAATTTATCGCTTATTTAGTATTTTCTTAGAGATAGATATAGTTACTTAATTATAGCATCTATATGGAAGGATAAATACTTGTAATCTGGGATGATTGAAAAATAAGCAGCAGCAACCTAATTTGTTGCTGGCTTCCCTGGGAAGCCCTAGCTGCACCCCTCTGTCCTCACTGCGCCGTGATCACGGCGCCCGTTCGTCGTCCTCGTTTCCCTAAGCTTCGTCCACCGATCTCTCACCCCTACACCCTACGCAACAAGCCTGGTAGGATCCGTAATCCTATCAACCTGGTATTAGAGATGTCAGGCCCTAATCCCACCAACACCCTGCCGCCGCCGCCGATCACCTCCACTGTCGCGGTGGTCACCACCTCGCCGCTGCCACCTGCCTCCGTGCCCGCTGCCCAGATGACGCCTGCTGCACAGCTGATGCCGGATCAGGTGGCTGCCGCCATCAGGGAGCTGGCTCGCTCGGTGGCTGCCATCCCGTCCTACCTGGCCGGTGTGCCACCGCCGCCGCCGCAACTAGCTGCGACCACCCTGCCAGCGGTGCTGCCGTATGGGATGCCGCACTCCAGCACGACGGGCGTTCCCATCTATCTCCTCTGGATGCCGCCTTCCCCTTCGTCAATTCCGTCGTGGACTTTAGCCTTGATGACCAGCCCAGTGTACACCATGGCGACCTCTCCGGCTGCGACATCAGTAGTGCCAACGCCCGCTACCGCCGCTGCGGTCTTCCACGGGGGACCCCAGGCCGATGGCTTTTTCTATGGGGGTTTCGACGGCCCCCTCTTATACGGACCTGGGCACCTAGGTGTGAGTGCCTCCCCGTCCACAGGCAGTGTTCCGGAGCCCTTCGTCCAGGGCGCGCATGGTGCCCCTCAGGGTGCTCACCCTCCTCGTTTCTACAAGCTCGAGTTTATGACCTACGACAGCTCCGAGGACCCCCTGAATTGGCTCAATCACTGTGAGCAATTTTTTCGAGGGCAGCGTACCCTCGCCTTAGATCGCACCTGGCTCGCGTCCTATCATCTGACTGGTGCAGTCCAGACATGGTATTACGCCTTGGAGCAGGATGAGGGCATGCCCACCTGGGACCGTTTCAACGAGCTGTGCAATCTACAGTTCGGGCCGGCAGTTCGTAACACCCGACTGTCTGAACTCGCCCGCCTTCCGTTCACCTCCACGGTGCAGGACTACTCAGCTCGCTTCAACGTTGTGCTCTGCCATGCCCGCAATCTCTCGGGCCCGCAGAAGGCTAAGCTGTTTGTGGGCGGCCTCCCGGAGCATATCAAAGTCGACATGGAGCTTCGGGAGCCCCAGGACCTTCAGACGGCCATGCATCTGGCCAGGTGAAAGGTTGAGATGGCGGACTAGAGGGGGGTGAATAGTCCTTTCTAAATTTAATCGTGTCGGCTAACCGAAACAAATGCGAAATTAAAACAATCGGTCTAGCCAAGACTACACGCCTCTATCGAAGTTCACAAGCATCTTATAAAGATCCTAATTAGACAACAAAGGTGCCGGGCTAGCTAGAGCTCACCTATCCAATTCTAGGAGCAAGGTCACACAAACCTATGCCACTAGTATTTTGCACACCAGGGAGCTCCTACACAATTCTAGTAAACAAAAGCACAAAGCTACTAAGCTTACTAGCAATACTCAATAATAAGGCAACCAATGCCAAATTAGAGAGCGTAAATACTTAGCTACACAAACTAAGCAATGTGACTAACAAGGTTACACAAACCAAATTAGCCATGCAATGGAGCTACTTCTATGCTACACAAGCAAGAAGGTAACAAGTGAGCTACACAAGCTAACTAATTACAAAAGCAACTATACAAGCACAATGTATATGAAAGTAATTACAAGCTTGTGTAAGGGGATTGCAAACCAACGGGAAGAACAATGTTAACACGGTGATTTTTCTCCCGAGGTTCACATGTTTGCCAACACGCTACGTCCCCGTTGAGACAAGCTCCAAGGTTGCCGCCAGTCCTCTTGCTAGTGGTGACCCGCAAGTCACACTCTTCCATGTGGAGTTCTTACCACAAGCTCTAGCACTTGACCCGGCCAGACCACTTGTCGCCCTTCGCGTCTCGCTCTACTAGAGTTGCTCTTCGCGGCTCCTACGGGGCGAGCACAATGCCCCTCACAAAAGCACTTCTCCAGAGCACCGCACAAGCTTCTTGCGGGCTTCGACGGAGACCACCACCAAGCCGTCTAGGAGGTGGCAACCTCCAAGAGTAACAAGCACCACCGGCTTGCAAGATGACCACCTAGTGCCACTCGATGCAACCTCATGATGCAATCGCACTAGAATCTCTCACTCACTCGATCGGATGAACACTATCAAGCTCAAGTGAGTTAGAAGGCTCCCAAACACTACCACATAAGTCACCAAGGCTCTAGTGTACTCAGCAACCAGCCCAAGGCCAGCCAATGCTTGCTTTTATAGCCCCCAAGAAAATAGAGCTGTTGTACCCCTTCACTGGGCACTTTTCGAACTGACCGGACTCGCAGGTCATAACGACCGGACGCGCAGGTCACAGAGTCCGGTTGCTAGGATGACATCACGCGTCCCCTCCTTTTGAAGCTAACTGTTTGGCTTCAACGGCTAGCTCCCACGCGCGCATACTCTTGACCGGACACGCCTAGGTCCAACGACCGGACGCGCCAAGGCTGAGTTCGGCTAACAACGCATTTCTGCACAACTGACCGGACTCACCTTTATCCTATGACCGGACTCGACTCTATCAACGTCCGGTCACTTCCAGAGAGGTTCCAAAGAGCTCTTTTGATGACCGGACGCGTCAGGTCATCACTGACCGGATTCTCTGTGCCTCCGATCACTCTTGGACGTGTTAAAAACACTAACCAAACTCTATGACCGGACTCGCAGGTGCTGACCGGACGCGTAGGTCGCAGAGTCCGGTCACAGACCTTTCAGCGCTAAAACGACTATAACTCTTAGCTTCGAACTCCGATTTCGATGATCTTGGACATTTTGGAAAGCTTACTCAGAGGTCTACACATCCCACATGCATAATTGATCCAAATCACAATGGATCAAAACAGTATTCCAATCCAAGGACCATCCTATAGTTCAGAGTACACCGAAAAACCTTTTTCTCTTCTCTAAGTTGATCCACAACAACTCTAACTTCTTCTCCTTTGCAAATGTGCCAACACCACCGATTGTACACCACCAAGTGCAAGTGTGTTAGCATTTTCACAAATATTTTTCAAAGGATTAGTCACTCAATTTACCACGCCACTCGATTCTAGCAACATCACAAAGTTAGATCGCTCAAGTGGCACTAGATGACCGATATGCAAACAAGTTTGCCCCTCTTGATAGTACATCCATCTATCCTAAACCTGGTCATAAACTTCTCTATACACCTATGACCAGTGAAATGAAATGCCCTATAGGTTATATCTTTGCCTTGCGCATTCTATTCCATCTTCTCCAATGTTGATGCAACACATGCACCAACATGATCAACAATGATATGATCCACTTTATATCATCATGTGACCTTATTGGTTCATCGATCTTGACCTCACTTGCTCTTCACCATTGCATCGGTCCATCGGTGCCAAGTCTTTGCTCAAGCTTCACCACCACACGGTCCATCGCTCCGAAGCCTCCAACTTGCCCTTCACGCTTGCAACTGGTCCATCAAGCCAAGTCTTGTCTTGACCTTCTCCACTTTGATCACATGACTCAATGTCATGTCTCATGTGCAATGAGTTCCTTCATCATCACATGTGTGAGCTTTGCAACATCTCCGAGCCATTTCCACCTTCATGGCATATGTTGCTCACACACATGTACATATGGACTAATCACCTGTGTATCTCACATAAACATAATTAGTCCACCTAGGGTTGTCACTCAATTACCAAAACCAAACAAGGACCTTTCACCAGGGAGTTCGAGCACCGGGCTCATGCCACTATGCTGGCCATAGGACAGCGTGGCGCCCGGCCACCCCAGCGGATAGGTCTTCTAGTGCACCCCGACCCTTGGTGCTCCCTCTAGTAGCTACCGGCGCGGCTGCTGTTCCAGCAACAGCAGGGTCGGTAGCCCCTGCTCGGCCTTTTCGCCGCCTATCTCTAGCCGAGCAATTGGAGCATCACCGTCAGGATCTCTGCTATAACTGCGACAAGCCGTATGTGCGTGGCCATGTGTGTCCATGGCTCTTTTATCTAGAGTCCATAGATTTTCTCGACGACGAGGTTCCCGCGGAGGTGGCTGCGGTAGCAGCCTTCCAGGAGGATGCCACGCCTCAGGAGGTTGTTACTGCCGCCGTCCAGGAGCCCGCAGCCCAGCCTACCATCTCCCTGTATGCCATCGCCAGCATTCGGACTGAGAATGCCATGCTCCTCCCGGTCCATGTTCATGGCCATCGTCTCATGGCGCTCCTCGACTCGGGCTCGACGCACAACTTCATCAACGCCGACCTCATGCGCCGCCTATGCCTCTCCACCATGCCACATCCTTCCATGTGGGTGCTGGTGGCT